TTTGGGGAACTGGATGTCTGCTAAGTTCTCCAGTTCCAAATGTCTTGTTCCGTCACTGTGCTCGAGCAGTGTTGCCCGGTGTGTCACGTCCAGTAGGACCGATGTCGGCGTCCTCCGTGTGGTAGGTGCGTGTGCTGCCTGTATGCGGACCAGGTTCATTCTGGTCAGGTCTGCTGCTTGTTTGCCCAGTGGTGAGTCTGGAGGGACCAAATATGGCTGCTTGCTGGTACCCTCAAAGCTTGCTTTGATCTGTCGGACGATGTCGTCCCAGGTGGTGAGATCAGCCACTGGTGATGCTGCGGCCCATGCCTGAAAGCATCGTGCAAATTGGTGTGGTTCCTGCTTCTGGATCATGTGACGGAGCTGCTTGAGTATGGTGTCAACCAGGCTGTCTGGGTCATGCGACCTGCGATGGGCGTGCATTCGGACCTGGCCTCAGGCGTGAGTCGCCTGCCGATGAGACCTGGGAGTTGCCCAAGGTCATTGGTTTGGAGATCCTGTGGCCATGGACGGTAGCGTGAAATGTCTCCAGTGTGACTTTCCAAACTCAGTTCTTGAACCGCTGGATGACACCATAGCTGGGATCTCTGGGGGTTCTCGATCATGAAGTATCGGTCATTGGTGAGTTGGAAGTAGGCCAACTCCACGGCCAGTTCCTGCTCATGCTGTAGCTGCTGCCAGAGGTCTTCTCGTCCGGAGAAGTTCATATTGTGGTTGAACATGGAATAGAGGCGACAGTCGAGTCCAAGCATGATGAACCGTGGCTTGAACCTGGTCGCTGCCGTTTTCACAGTCTGGCGGTTTGCTGGCTTTGTCATGTCGTGTTGTGGTCCATGTAGTATGTCGATCGGCTCCAATGCTGTGAGGCCGAACTTGCTGCAGCGTGTGGTGAATTTGCTGCTGCCTGAATAGACCTCAAAGACATCAATGTATGGTGGAGGTCTCTTGGCCACTGTCATCATTGCTTCGCGAAGGTCCTTCTCGGCCTCGAGCTCCTTCACGTGGAGGTTGAGCTGGCCCCTCAACCTTCTAGCGCCTCCCAATCGTGTTGGGAGTCTTCGTCCTCATCGGCCTGGAAGTTCTGCTGCATTGCTTGTTCCTGGCGAAGGGCTGCCAGGCGGGCTGCGATGTCTGGTTCCTGGGCGAGCATCATGAGGAATGAATGGTGCTCGTAACTGCTCATCGGTTCCCCGTAGATGTCTTGTGGTTCCGTCCATGCATAGCCCTCGGTCGTCGGCTGCGAATCGGCGATGTTGTAGCGCTTCGGCTGGGAGCTTGTAGTCATTGAGGAGGCCGAGGCTGCCGATGCTCTGGTCGAAGGTTTGGGCTTGGCTCTGGACTTGGGGGCTGAAACCACCGTGTTGGTCAATGACAAGGGTAAGGACCGCGATGATGCCTGTAAGGGCTTGTGTACCCAGAGTTCGGCTTGTGGGTCCCATTTCATTCGGAGGCCGCAAGTCACGCATTGAGCGAACCTTCCGTGGAGGTTGCCGTACCTCTTGACACTTGTATGGGGGCAATCCTTCACTTGGACCTTGGCTTCGATGTGGGGCGGAATGGCTTCTGACAACCAATCCCTTGGGAAGATCCCCAACTTCGTGGCCTTCAACATTTGGATGATGAGATTCTTGACGAATCCCAGGAGAGCACTTGCGAGAAAGCTCCAACGATAGAGCCATGTCGGAGGCTGACGTCTCATGTTGGTGGTGCGCTTTGGCTTCTCGAGAAACTTGAGCACAGAGCGCTTCCGACGAAACAAATGAGCCAGCTTCCAAAAACATACATTCAGGGTCAGGACGCTTTCAAAAAGATGCTCTCTCAAACAATGTCCAGCATGGCATGGTATGTGGTGTGCAAGTGGTGAACTTCACAAGGTTGACTGCAAGGTGTCCTCCGACTTTCACTAAATCAACACTGACATCGAGAGCTGTGAATCGCACCTGCATCGCTGGGATATCGATGATGGCTCCCAGTCGCTCCAAAAGTCGGTTGCTCCCGAGCAGTGGTATGGCCTCGGGGAGAATGGCTGTGCCCAAAAAAATTGGTTTGTCGCCCAGCATGGAAGGAAGGTAAGCTCGAACTCGTGGAGTGGTTGGTGAGCCCTTCCCGAACTGGAACTGGTCAGCGCATCATGGTATCTCCTTTGAGGTGAGGCCCAAGTTCGTGAGGACTTTGAGGTGTTGCTCATACCATTGGTGACCGCAACAAGTTCTTTGACATGCACTATCCAAAACCATCATGCCCTCGAAGTTGTTGGTGGTGGACTTGATCTCATGGACCTGGAAATAATGAACCATGTTGCAACTGAAGGCTGTCCCGTAGTGTTCCCCGTCATGGTCGACCGGGTTGTCGGAGTAGGTCATGGAACCGTCGTCGCGGTGGATGAGAAAGGTCTGTTTGACACCTGGACCCGTCAGGCTGCTCTGCGACCCCTTTTGACCAGCTTGTGATCGATAGGTCGTCGAGGCATTGCTGGGCCTTGAGTTCAGTCCGGACTTCTTTGAAGCCTGACAAGCTTCGTCTCCTTGCCAATGGCCTTTCTCTCCGCAAATTGCGCAGTGAGAGTTGCGCTTTCTTTCTTCGACGCTCTTGGACTTGAAGTTGCCTTTTGAAGGTGGTTGAGTCGTGAACTTCCTCCCAAGGGTGACTCCAGCGAGTTTCCTGGCCGTGATCGTGAGGACCTGGGCCAACTCTCCTAGGAGCTCCTGGGGGTCCTCTGCATCAGAGAATCATCTGGTGGGTCAAGGTCGCCGCCGTCAGGCTCGCTCCTCTTCGATGGCCTCGAGATCTGGCTGGCCATCGTCGTGTGGCTCCGTTTCGGCCACATAGACCGACTTCTTGAACATGGAACTCCTTGTGCTGGATGCCAAAGACGATCGTGACGATGCCGGTGTCGAGGAGCTGGAAGAGGCATTGGATGAAGGCCCCTTTCCATCGCCTTTGGCGCGTCCATCTCTGCCGACGACCGGTGGAGCTCCCCGAAACTCCGGATATTGGAGCACGAGCGCCTCTGCAACACGTTCGAAGGACAAATCTTGTTGTGTCCCGATCAAAATGACCCGTTGGGCTTCCGCCGACAAGCCAGCACGGTCCAGGAGTCTGGAGCCGAGGGCTTCCTGGTCAAACATGCCAGACACCTCGATTCCCACTGCTCGTAGGCAACGTTGGGTCCTCCGAAATCTCGAAATGTAATTGCGCATAGTCTCACCTGAAAACCGTCGAAGGACCTCGAACTCGTGAAGCAGTTTCTTTTTTGATAAACAAACTTCTGCTCCATTGGCTGACGCAAGGCAGCCATCATGGTGTTGATCCCATCTTCATGATGGATTTGTGAAAGAGGCATGTGTTCAAGCTCTTGCTCCAGTTCGCCCTGAAGTGACGAGTAAAGGGCGAGAGACATCTCCTTTCGTGACATGTAGGGAGTTGCCTGGAGGGTCCAAAGGTCAACCTTCTTCTGGAACTTGGACCAGGCTCGAACACCTTCTTTGTCATAACGCCGTGAAGGAGGCGTTGGAGCAGCTCCTCCGCGCCATTTCAGACCTGGTTTGGGTCCGAAGGTTGAACCCCACTCTTCATCCTGGGCGCTCTGCTGGGATCCATCGGATCTCTTGGAGTTGAGGAGCTTCTTCAAGGCGGTCATGATCTTGTCGTCCTCGGTTTCTCTCAGAGGATTGGCCGGAGACTCGGCCTGGCGTTGAGGTTCATCAGAACGTTGCCCTCTGGGAGAATCATGTAACCGAGGGTGGCGTGGAGGTAGCGAGGAGGGACCAGGGTCAACGACGGGATCGTGTGTCAACGTCTCGGATTCAGCTTGTTCATGTTCATACCCTTCAAGGTTGTCTTCAGGGTCGGGGGCGGTTCTTTCGTCTGCGTCTTCGTCTTGACTGGTGACTTCCTGACTCCTGACCGTTGAGCATGTACAGCCAAGTACCCGAGGGAACAGTCGTCCTCGTCGGACGATCCGACCTATGGAAGGTTGTGCCAAAACACCGGGCGCATGTCCACGTGTTTCGTGCAGCAAAGGCAGAACCAGGTGTAGTGTTCAACATCATCCACATGGCCAGTCTGGTCACCTAAGGTCGTATTGGGCTCATCATCATCTTCAAAGGCCCGAACCGTCTCTCCATCATGGTCCCACTCCTCCCAACCAGCGTCATGGTCTTATGTGGATGGGCTCCGGTGCCAACTGAGTAACAACAGTTCGAAGGCTCTCAAACTGCAAAGAAGGAAGCGGCACGCTACGAAATCAAAGGCTTTTTACCACCATGGCACATGGTCAAGAAAGGTTGGCAGAAGGATCCTGAACACGAGTGGCCACGGGCGACAAGCCTGAAAGACCAAGGAAACGCGTGGCATGAATTTCACAATAACAGTTTCATGTAAATTGGAAGGTGTCATTACAGCTTCATGTCAAGCTGATTTGGCAACCACCACATTGATACCAATCAGAAGTTAATGCACAGACTTGTACATGGAGATTTCGACAAGGGCAAAGGGAGTGTTGGGCTTAAACACTTTCATTGTAAGAGCAAAGAACATATGCCTTTAGGTGAGACTTAGGCTCACATGCTTGAAGGTTGAACGAAAGAGTAATAACACAGATTGACCTAAATAGGAAAACCAAACAAAACAAAAAACATTGAGAAAACCAATAACAACCTAGGAAAAAAACAAAAAACAAAAAACTTGGGAAAACAAAAAAATAAACAAACAATTCTGGGGAAGTCTTGAGGAAAGGAGGGGTCCAGCCAAGAGTCTCTGAGAATTGGTTTTCTTGTTGGTTTTTGCTTTTTTGGTTTTGCCAAGGTGTTTTTGGTTTTGTTGTTTTTCCTAGGTTGTTCTTGGCGTTCCCAAGGTTTTTTGTGTGTTGGGTGTTTTTTTTACTGCAAATTATTCAGTGTTTTTTGAGTCATTGTTGTATGTGTTTTTGTGGTTTTGATTGTATTTGTGAAAAGTTGTCTACAAATACAGAAAACCAAAAACCCAGGCCCCATGGCCACCCCTTCTGGAAAAATAAGCCTCCCCACCTATGAAAACACGCACAAGTTCTGTCAGCCTGACTCTGGTCGTCAATGCTGTTCAAGAGGCTTTACATCTGCCTGCTGCTTAGTCAAGAATGCATGTTCTCCTGAATTCGCCTTTCCTTCAGAAAGAGGTACTGCATCGAGTCTGGGTGGCCTAAGTTGTGAACATAACGTCAGAGTCAAACTCCAAGGTTCACGTCTGTCCATATACCAAACTTTCAGGTTTGCATTGCAGTGTTGCACACTGTCAAGCACTGTGCATTACAGCTAGTGCTCAGATTCAAAATGGGGGACCTAGAGAAGGGACTGAAGTCCATTGGAAAGCAACGTCCATATACAAACTTGTACGAGGCAAATTCAAATCACCTATGTCCTTGGAGCAGGAATGCACCTGGCAGCCTGGCAGACGCCCGACACTCCACGCTCTCCCAAGCTGTCGCTTACAGAGTCCCAGTCTTAGAATATCTAGAATTCAAGACTGACTGAATCACTTGTGTCTGCCGCCAAAGTTGAATATGCCTGTGCTACCAAGTCGTGTATCCTGTAGCCTTACCAGCTTGACAAGGTCTGTCATGCAGTCCCCCTCCGCAGTGAGCGACCATCCCTAACAGCTTCCGCATCAGATGAAAGTCTGGTGCCCAGCCTCAATCCTCATCACTGTCCACCTGAGATTCAGATTCTGAGCCGAAAAGAAGAACCAATCCAGAACTGCATTTCAATCGAGACCTTTGAGAGCCTGTCAGTTGGCAAACACAGACACCCTGTTGGGCCCGGCCTGCTCCATCCCAGGGTCGTCCTCATTGGGAAAGAAGTGGTAGATCTGACAGGAGGAAGAGGCCGCCACCCACTGGAAACCAATCAAGTTGCTAGTGCTTTTGTTGGCCAGATTGGATGTGTCAAGAGGCAAAATAAGTATTTTGATAATGCAAATGTTCTGCAGATGTAGAACCCTCCCTGCCTTCCGCCCCCAACGGTCAAAGTCAAAGCACATGGGCTTGATGCCATCGTAAACGATGCTGTAAGGGGTGGTTACCTGACCAAGCGGGATGGGCAAATGTCAAATCCAAACACATAAAGAAGACAACTTCTGCAACTTTCGGACTTGGCCTCCACTTCAGTAATGGTCTGCCGGAAGCGCACTGCTCTCGAGCCTTCAGCTTCAGCGTTCGAACTCAAACGGCAAGGTGTCTTGTTTGTTAGCTTCTTAACAAGTAACTATATAGTAGTAATGCCAGGAGCTACTAGCGATGGCCTCCACCTAGTAGCTTCTTGCTACTAGTACTAATGGCCTCCAACCTAATAGTGAGGGCCTCCACCTAATAGCGTCCTTGCTACTAGTAGCTTCTTGCTACTAGTAGCGATGCCCTTGTTGGTAGTAGCTTCTGTTTCTTCTCCAATCGCAAATGAAGAGACCGCCCGCTTCCGCCGTGCCTTGGTTACTTGAATCTAAACTGGAGAGAGCGGTGTTGGGCGTCAGGGTCGTATCCCTGCCCGCACAAACGTAATTGCCATGGTCATTCATACACAGTCATGGGAACAAAGGATCATGTTTTGAAAAAGGGTCTGATACAAAAGCACAAGGCATGCAGTCTGTCAACGACCCTGTTCACTTACAAGATCACCATGCCCCCACCTGCTCATTCGCGGACTTTCCTTCTCAGGATCCAAGGAATGGGACACGGGCGGTGGCATTGGTGCCAGCGGCGGCCTAAATTGGTGGTCACTGTTGCCAGATCATGTTCACACAGCAAGTATGAATGACAAAGATTTGCTGCTGTGTGATTCAGAAAATTGCTGTGGCCATTGCTAATAGAAACTAGTTAAAACTGTTTCTTGGACCGACTCCAAACAGCCTCGCGTAGGTCTCCCGGCACGGAAAAACCCATGTCGATCAGAGATGGTGCCCGACTCGGTCCGGTGCTGGTCTCCTCACCTTCGGACTCCAGACATGACAACTCGATGAAATGTCTCAATTAAACTGTCATCCCAAATTGTGCTGGACGTGGAAACTGTCTCCCAACTAACCTTCCTGGGGTGCTCCTTCTGCCTATCATGCGGCCCTCCTTCCCTTCTTCCTTGTAGCGGGCCCGCGCTCCGGTGCCTCCATAGGGGCCATGAAAGACCAGCTGTACACTTCGTCCCGGATCCCTTTGACGGAAACAACGGAAAGGCGGTCGATGTGCGATGAACACGACCGAAACAAGATGTCCTGAAAAAACTGGGCGACAATGACGACAGGGCGGCCCGAAAGCACAACAGGAGATGACACAAGGTAACGACGATGTTGATAACGACCACGATGATGGTTGTGATAATCATGATGATGGCGCTAATGTCTAAAAATTACTTTAAAAATGTAGGTAGACGATCTGATAACCGCAAGTCATACTTGTGGGGCACTCATGTACAACACTCTTGCAAAGGCACTCTTGTTGGACAGCGTTGTGGGACACTCTTGTGGGACGCCCTTGTGGGACACTGTTGCAAGACACACTTGTAGGACACTTTTGTCTGACACGCTTTTAAGACACTCTTGTCCGTCAGTATTGTGGGGGGCACTCTTGTAAGACACTCCTGCTTGACCTTTGAGAGACAAGAGCAAAGAAATTCTTAGACACTGTAGGGCACTCTTGTGGGGCACCCTTGTAAGCTTGTAAGACATGTCTATACATTTTTGTTGGACACTCTTGTAGTACACTTTTCTGGGCAACCACCACAGCGACACGACGCACACACTTAGATTGATGCTCGCAAGAGCTGAGTCAGTGAAGGTAGCCCACTCTAGTGCATACATTGCCGGTCTAGAGCGCTGCCTGAGAACCTGGGAGGGGACGGCAAGGCGAATGAGTCCGAAACAATATGGTTGAAACATTCATCTGCAGGTACACGGAAGTGATCAGCTTCCGCCCCCTAGGATCTTGCAAAGAGCTTCGTTGGGCAGAGCCTTGCAAGTCCTCTCTGCCCCCTGCCTTTAAAGATTCTTGGCTGCGAATAATTTACAATGAATTTACAATGTGCGAAGCCTTGGAAACAGGCTTTGACACACACACCACGCCGATACCGGCGGTCAAGAGATTTAGTAGCCACCTAACAAGCCTTAGAAAGAAAGGAAAGGAAAAGACAGAAAGAGAAAACGCAAAGGGCAAGAGAGAAAGATAGGTGTAGTTACGAGGCCCACTAGTTACGAAACCTTCTAGTTACTAGTTCGCAAGCAGGACTTTAGTCTTAGACCGCCCGGGTAGGAAAGACTAGGACAGGACAAACAGAAGGAAAGGCACCAACACGTAAGTGTGTTGAGGGCGACTTCCTTCTGTTACCCTAATTAGAGGGTGGGAATAGGAGGTGTGAATTCGCGTGCAAGGATGGGGTGGGGGCTCTAAGGCACTGCCGCAACCGGCGCTCCCTTGACTGAAAGGTTACCCGAAACCTTAAGAAAGGCCTCAAAAAAAGAAAAGCAACAGTAGGAGAGAAAAACCAAAAGAACCAAAAGAGATTACTTAGCTGCGTACCTGTTAGTCCTCTGCTCACGTTGCTCACTTTCTGATGCTCGGGTGGTGGGCTGGTGGGGCACTCTTACTCCTCTCCTCTTTCGACTTTTTTACACTCTCTTGAAGTCTTGAAGGCCCTGAACGTGTCGGAGTTTGTTTCGGTTGTCTTCTGTCGCACATGGTCACGCAGTGATGTTCAGTTTTTCGATCTCAGTAGGCCCTGCGGCATTCGATCAGTAAATCCAAGCAGAACGAACAAACCAGTGAAGATCCGAAAGAAGCTTCTGAATTAAGGACGAGGAATCAGAGTGGGTCCCCCCTTTGCAGGTCTATGCACACGCTGCGCCCCTCGATGCGGCCCTCACTGAGACTCTGTGGCGACACACACTTAGATTGATGCTCGCAAGAGCTGAGTCAGTGCAGGTAGCCCACTCTAGTGAACACATTACCGGTCTAGAGCGCGCGCTGCCTGAGAACCTGGGAGCAAGGCGAATGAGTCCGAAACAATATGGTTGAAACATTCATCTGCAGGCACACGGAAGTGATCAGCTTCCGCCTCCTAGGTTCTTGCAAAGAGCTTCGTTGGGCAGAGCCTTGCAAGTCCTCTCTGCCCCCCTGCCTTTAATTTATTTGTTTGGACATAATTTACAATGTGTGACGAAGCCTTGGAAACAGGCTTTGACACACACACTCATGGATATGCGTACTGACTTGATAGCGGTGCCACACGCCGGCCTAGGGTTCCATGTCCTAAGAGTATCGGTAGGGAACCAGCGAATCCTGGAAGTCTTCAAACGGAGAAATGGCCCAAAGAAGAAGAAATCGAACGACGGACGAACAGGCTGACGACGGTCCGCTCGCATCTGCAGTTCAAAGAAAACATCAAAACTTCGAGGTCCTTGGCTTAGCCTCACGCCATTCAGGAAGGAAGGAAGGAAAAACGCAGGTACGTCACTGGACGTCTCCAGTGATATCAGTACCGGCACAGAAGCCTCTTCGTTGGCTGTCACTTCTGTGGGGTAGACAGTCCCCCTGCTGTGAAATAAAACAGAAAGGCAAACCTGAAAATCCAAAAGGGTCCCTATGATTCCAAGGGTTACACACACACACGCCTCCCCGAGGGGAGGCGTAAAACTAAGGTGAGGGCCAATGTGTACGTGCGCGCGCAAGACAAAAGAATGAAGACATGACAGGAGGACGAGGCGGGACAAAGGTGCACGTGGTGGAAATGAGAAAGGAACCAAGTGCACAGGGACATCCGATGAAGCCCACCTCATTGTAAAGACCTGGGCGACCTGAAACCTGTGTTTAAAGGTATGTAAAAGTGCACGTACACACTAAGGCCGGGACCAATGTGCACGCAAACGAAGGAAAGGATGAGATGACCAGACATGAAGACAGGAGGACATGAAAGAAAGGAGGAAACAAAGGTGTGTGTGGTGAAAGGGGAACCAAATGGAGGGGACGGAAACCGATGAGACCAAACCTCATTGCAACGACCTAGGTGACCTGCCTCGTTTCAATGCGCACGCTGTGTGTGCATCCGAGGTTGCGACAGGTCCCAATGGACCTTAAACTTGCTTTGACCGCTGTGGTCACCTTGTGCCCTGCCGAGATGGCTGGCTGCTTTGACCGCTACGGTCACGTACAGGCATGAGCCAACTTGGAATTCCAAAGATGGAACAAAAATCATCGTACGTACGGCCTAGGCCACCTTCGCCCGCTCTGGGCGCGTACATCTCCAAAGCAAGGGAGATAACGACAAACCCCCGTTCAACGGGTCCACGGGAGGCACTCTGCGGGCTCATCCCGGGTTGGCACGTGGCCAAACACACTCATGGATATGCGTACTGACTTGATAGCGGTGCGACACGCCGGCCTAGGGTTCCATGTCCTAAGAGTATCGGCAGGGAACCAGCGAATCCTGGGGGTCTTCAAACGGAGAAATGGCCCAAAGAAGAAGAAATCGAACGACGGACGAACAGGCTGATGACGGTCCGCTATCATCTGCAATTCAAAGAAAACATCAAAACTTCGAGGTTCTTGGCTTAGCCTCATCCCATTCAGGAAGGAAGGAAGGAAAAACGCAGGTACGTCACTGGACGTCTCCAGTGATATCAGTACCGCCACAGAAGCCTCTTCGTTGGACTGTCACTTCTGTGGGGTAGACAGTCCCCCTGCTGCGAAATAAAAAAGAACGGCAAACCTGAAAAATCCAAAAGGATCCCTATGATTCCAAGGGTTACACACACACACACACGCACACACACACACTACACACATGGTTCCCGCTCCCCAACAACACGGAGCCGCTTTCCACAGAGGCCGCATGGCATAGCAACATCACGGACATAGTTTGGCCACGCTGTGTGCCACAGACCAAAAAGAATGAACACCGAGCCTCGTCGAAGCCACAAACCTTCCGCTTACCAGTGACACACCGCGCTTACACACACTTAGGTCCATGCTCGCTAGAGCTATTTCAATTGGCGCTCCCCAGCGTTACTGCAAGAAGACCTTTACGCGCAGTTAGACCTTGGCTGAGGGAACGGAAAGGTGGCTGAGTCCGCGACAGCAATATTGTTTCAAAAAAACTCATTCGCACTTTACAGGAAATGTAAAGTAACCGCTTGAGCTACTGTTGAACCCGGCAAGCTACTTACTGAACGCTTAGCACTCTTGAGTTAACGGCATGCATAAAAGGAGTTCCACAGCTTTTGCAACAGTTCAACAAAAGCAGGTACATGGGACTGGCCAAGTCCCACGTCTCGCGGTATCACCCAGCTTCGATCATTGGTCAAGGTTGGCGATATCGCGCCTTGACCCCCTGCTTGCTGTACAGGGTACATCATAGGCCAGCTAGTTACCTAAAGTTAATTGAGAGGGATGTGGTTGTTTTTCTTGGAGACAAATTGACACACACACACACACACGCACACAATCAGCAAGCGTCTATGTTCGCAAGAGAAAACATCAAAAACGCGCATGCATGCAGTCAACGCACGCGCCACTGGCGCTGCGGAGTCCGACTCCGCAGCTTCAGGAAGTGTCTCAGAGGAGGCGGCAGCAGCTGGGTCGTCCGTAAATGAAAATCTTGATAAGGAAGCAGCATGAGGGCTGCAGGCGCTGCTGTAGACGCATCTGCTGATGGATGCGCCATAAAGGAGGCGGTGGCTGCGCCCTCTGTGAAAAGTGTGAGTGGCGGTTGCGGTGGAAAGGTGGATGGTGGCGGTGTTGGTGCGCCGTGAAGAGGCTTGGCTGTTGTGGGGGGTGGATGTTTGTTGCGCGCTATGTGGGATGGCCGTCCTGGGTGGGTAACGTTGGAAATGGTTGCGTAGTACTGGTAGTGGTACTGGATAAGGTGGATGTGGATGTGGAAAAATCGCAAGCGGTGGGAAACAATTGGCTGCAGCGGGAACGAACCAGCCTAGCTCTCGATGGCCTTCCCATATGGAGCTATTCCAGCTTCTGGTTCTGATCGCCTGCCACAACCAAGGCGCCGCGTCAAGCTGATGCAAAGCACAAACCTCAAGGAGCTGCTCTGCTCGTGGTCCTGAGTCCATTGATTCCCAACCATGCTCCACCAGTCTTCCATGGCAATGTATGGGCCGATTCACTTTTGAACTAAAGATCATATTCTCTTTGAGAAGAACTTCATGTACATCAATGTCACGCAAGCAGGTTTCGACACTTTTCGCAACCCACAATGGGATTGCGATTCCCCTGAGCGCGCGATTCCCCTGGGCATCTTGTGGTTTGGTAGCTGAATTGAACTCTAGCTCTCCTTCCTCATGATCTGCCATATCCAAAGCGAATAAAGCTGATTCAGCTCAGATGGACAATCCAGAGCCAGGGTGTCAGCCTTGCTGCGCGGGTCTACAACTGTATGAGTAGTCACTGAAGCTCCTCCTGAAGATGAATGGGCTGCATCACTTGCAACCTGTCGAATGTTGTTTCTCCAGTCTCGAGCAAGATGTCCTGGCTTCCCACAAGTGTAACATGTTGCCACACCTTCTCCTTTTTGGTCTTTGCCTTTGCCTTTGCCCTTGTGATCACCTTCTTTTCCTTTCTGTTCTCCTTTTCCTTTCCTTTGGCATCCTTACCCTTGCCCTTCTTGGAATCATTCTTACCTTTCTTGCCTTTTCCTTTGGCATCTTGAATTCGATCAACGTCCATAGGCATGGGTCCTGGATAGTCTGTACTGCTACTTGCAACCATTGAAGCAGCCCACTTCTGCTGAGAACGATCCCATTGCAACACTTGTTCCCTGAACATTGTTGCCAATTGTCAAATTCAAGTGGGATTTGAGCTGTCCACCTACACACGTCAAAAGATTAGCAGATTTCAGCTCTTCTTGAATTGTTGTTCCTGATCTGACTGTCTCATCAAATACCTCTTCAAGCTTAAGAAGTTGAGGGTGTAGAGCACTGTTCATAGAAAATCCTGGCCATGTAGTGGCTGCTCCCAAGAGTGCTAATCCTCTTGCCTTTGAAGTAAGTTTCAAGGCTTTGTGCAAACTCCTCCAGGCATCAAATCCATTGGAGCCCTCCACAGCTTTCACCAATTTTAGCGCCCTGCCCCTCATCAACGAAGCTAACAATCCATAGAGCTTGGTACCAAGTCTATGTCAAAGTTCTTGTTAGGCTTGTCATGGATCTCTTTCAAGTCCTTCATGTAAGCCTCATCCACTGACTGAGGATAGATACTTCTCAAATACCCATGACCACTCTCTGAACGCTTTGATCTCTTCTTCTTGTGACTTGTAGTCAAATAGATTGGGTTTTGTGGTCGTCTTTGACCAATCAGCTGTCGTCCTCTTATCTTGCTTGCGTGCTTCTGGCTACGACTTCTTCTCTTATCTCATCCATCGCTACCGCACAATAATGTCCTTCTGACACAATGTACGGGGTACAGAGTGCAGCAGTTTGTCACCAGTCCAGATATTTGGCTTCCAAAGGTCCCGAATCTATGGCTCGAAACGCTCCCGGGATCCCAGTGACCTGGGGGCTTTTCTCTGGAGCTCAAAGGGGATTACCCTTATCCTTGCTCCGCTACCATGCAAATCTGTTCTTGACAATCAAAGGGCTGCGGTCAGGTGAGAACTGCAATACATGCTGTACAATACTACTTATGGTCTATGCTGAAAACTCTTCACAAAAAAATAAGTAATAACAAAACACAATAACATATATAACTATAACAATAATATAATGATAAATCCTGACTCTGCCGGTTATTTTAGCCCACCTAGTCAGAAGAACCAAAAGCATTGCTATGAGCATGGGTCTTGAGCAATCCTTGATCCTCTTCCACTCAACGTGTTTTTGGTGAGAGCTTCTTCCTAATCCAGTCACGTTAAAGAGACAATTTCCAAGAAAAACAAATTGTGTCAAGGAAGACAGGAATTGAGTGAATAGAGCAAGCGGCGGGGTGTTTTGCGGGGGTCCATGGCAACATTAATTTTGCCAAACTGTGACGTCTACACGTGCCCAGGCACGTGTGGCAGCGCTGTGTATGGCGCTCAAGTGCCTTAGAACAGAGCGTCTGAGCTGCAATGCCGACTGACAAGACACAAGACACTTTTTGGAAGGCTGCAGCAAGAGTCCTTCATAGATCCCATTCATGGTTGGGATTTCAATTGACAATCAATTTGTCTGCATGTTCTGGAACGACGCAGCGATATCAACATCAAGTTGGCTTAGAAATTCTGTATAGTTTCTACTGTGAAATGTCGGTTCTGGTATGCTTGAATAGACCAACATCTTCATCAACTTGGTGCCCGCTCCAAGCTGTTTATCGCCGCGCTGGCATGGATGGTCTGGCGCTTCTCAGTCTTCCTGGGTTGGGCAGGACCTGATGGTGACCTGGTGGTGACATGTCAAAAAGGCCAACAGGTGGTACGTGCAACAAGGGCCTAGATCCACAACAAGTTTCTTGCCTACTAAGCCTTCGTCGCCAGTACACCTACTTTGGTTCACCACCAAATCCTCTATCTATATATATATATAAATCCACCTTTCTCGCTCAAAATACGGTTCTCATTTCAAACCCAATGACAGTTCCCGGCAGTTCCCGACCCGCTCCGGCCAAGTGGCTTCACGTCACTATCGCTCTTGAAACTCGTTATTCCGGAGAAGCTATTGCTTCGTGTCAAGGACCGACGCCCAGCGGCAGCCAGCGACGCCAAAGGAGAAAGGACCTCAGAAAAGCGTCTTGATCACTCCAAAAGGCAGTCCAGTTTGATCCGTTTGAACCTAAAAAGCTTCTCCAAACATGGGCAGTAGTCCTATGGAGACCCCACTTAGAGTCTGGCTCCATCCTCATTGAAGGTGAAGCTACTTCGACGTCGTGTGGCCTGTGAAGTCACCAAGCCAAGTCGTCGATTGGCTTGCACTAGCTTAGACAAGAAGCCCGGCCCAGCTTGACGTCTTGAGCGATTGAGTTGTAACAAGGTTGAGATCTGTGAAGAATCTCATGATATGATAAAATCCGATTTTCAACTATATATCTGGTCTCAACCCACGGCCACATGGAATGAGCCGATTTGGCAGAATCTTTCGCCTTGCTTCGGGGCCCCAAGGCCAGCAGACTATCCAAGGGCATGGAGCTCAGTGCCCAGAAGAATGGAGCCAAAAGTAACTTCAGGGAATAGTTCATGAATCATCTCAACCTGCCCTAAGATTCAATATATCAATTAAAGCCAAAGAAGCGACATCTTCCAACAGTGCACACAGTGCCGCACATTGCTTTCTTGAAAGGTGGGAGGTACCAAGACTCGAAGGCCACTCGCACCACGCTTCTGAAGGTATTCAAGCATGGGTGCCGCCTCTGCCTGGACTCAGCGCTGTGTCACAAAATCTGGTCACAAAGAACTGCGCAGAGCATGACAAATCCAACAGATCTGTCATGCCTTCACCACAGGCCAGTTACAAAGCCCTAGGACCAAAAACATGGAGAAGTCCTTGCAGGACAATCCAGCTGAAGCCTATTGCAGCCCTTTTAGAGCAGAACAAATGTCCGCTATGTCGGCACCTCCGAAATCAAGAAGACAGTGGTTGCTGCGAGAGTACCTGAAGCCATTTTGGAACGATCCGCCGTTGCTGTCTCAAGCAACAGCACACGGTGTGCATTGGCGTGTGACGGTAAAAGGCAAGCATTGCCATTCCAAAAACTGTACAAAGTGCGTGCCATAGGATTTGGTACCCAGACTTGCCATCAGGACTGTCAAGCTGGAAAAACCCGCTCCAAGTTCAGCTCCCATGATGAACAGTTGTGATTACTTCTAGCGAGCTAACAACAATTGAGAATATATATAATACATTACATTAGACAATCAGTACAATCTCAGGACTGGAAACTTCTTAGATGCGTTTCAGAGGTCACTCTTCTTGTCGAGAACGCGGCTGCACCGATCATGAGTCCTGCGGTGGCTCTGCGAACATACGTAATCTTCTGGTGAAGCTGCATCCACTAAGGTCTTGCAAAAGCAAACATGAACCTGGTCAAGGAGGGCAACTTTGCAAAACAAACCTGCAATGCAAACCCAAGTTTTGCTCGAGAATCAGGATTAGTTCCTGAACACCAGCAAACTTTCTTGAACATCTAGTAGAATCTGGTAAGACGCTGCTGGGAGTGCAGCTTGTCATCTCTGAGACGTCCAGGAGAGCACTGTGTTCTCAAGTCCTCTAGCTTTAGGCGCTGTGACAAGCTCTCCTAGACTCACTAAAACGACCTTTGGGCGAGCCAACCGATCAAATTCGGACTGCAGAAACTCTCCTGTAGATCTTCACGGTAAAGCCCAGCTGTTCAAGCTCTTCCTTCTCGGACGCCTTGGGTACAGAAATGCTATCGAGAAAACCAAATGCTTGTCAACCTTCTGACCGTCCTCCTGAAGTCCCAATTCCATTGGATTGGGGAAACCACTGAAGGAGCATCCAGACTAAAGCTTTTGGATGGTTTTTCCTGGCTATATCATACATCAATCCTCCCAACTCTGGCAACCGCAAGGAAGCTCATCCAGCTATACAGAGCGTGGCGAGGCTGCTACAATTTTGACATGGCGCACAGTGCGTTAAGGCAAAGCTGCCTTTCTTTCGGCTCAATGAGCTACGCCGCTACGCAACGGGAACGACGTGTTTGACAGGGCAACGAACGAGGCCTCGGTTTAATCTTCACCACCATCACCAATCCAGATAGAGCCGAGCTGCGCTGCTAGCAGCAAAACTATTGACCTTCAAGAAGACCGAGTGCCACTGCTGGCTTTACCTTTATTCACAACAGATCCAAAGTGAAGGGCTCCAAATTCTGCCATCTGCTCGGCGGTAATCAGCATGTGCCCCATCTTTTCGCTTTGTACCCCACCTTATCGGTCTTTTCAACCTCCAATACCGTTGTGGGGCACGGAGGCGCCTTCTCAGATGAGGACGTGTCAGGGTTCGAACTCTCCGATGCATTTTCAGAAGGGACCTCTGCTATGGTGCTTTCTGCAGCCTTTCGCCAGCGTCCAGTTCGCTGGCCTTGGACTTCCAATCTCAGCCAACATCGGAACCTACACCGTCGCTCTGCACACCGGATGAAGAAGCGGCCATTGTCTTTGAGGCTCACCACACGTCTCAAAAGCCCAGGTTTCTTGCAAAAGCAGTCAGGAAGGTGCGCAATCTCATCCAGCCAAATGTGGAACCCACAGCCATCCCAAGGTCCAGGAATTCCACAGCCACCATCGTCGTACCTGCTTCCTCTCCTACGTGGGCACGACAGGTATGGCCTCCGATCTTCGGCTAAGCTGGCATAGTTGCCCGCACGCACCTGCAAGAGAGCCGGTGACAAGCCACACTCACATGGCTTTAGTTTCAACTGAGCCTCATGGCGATGGCTTCTTCGTGTGGCCATCGAAGTGCCTTGACAGCTCGGGCAAAAGTAGGTGATGCGTTGCCTCGCGGAAGGACACCGACACAAAGAATGCCAAACACCAAGTGTTGAGGGTCCCAGTGCTAGGCCACATCGCTTCTAGGTTGGAGGCCATCGCTACTAGGGTCGAGGCCATTGCTATTAGGTTTCCTTGCTAGTAGGTTGGAGCCCATCACTGATATTTGGGAAGTGATTCCTGGCCTCCTTACGGCACTGCACTGCATATACTATATAGTCGTGCGTTGGCAAAAGGTGAACGGCATGGAAACATTTATGTTTCGAATGGGATCACTTATCATACTTCATCTAGTTGGGGACTGCAATTTGCTGCTCATGACAATGAGGGCACTGGCATGCCTCTTTCCTTCTTTGATCAGACTCACAGGGGTCTGGCAGCGAGAACAGTTCCAATGTCCATAAACACGCATCAAATGGCAACAGCCCATCAACTGCCCATTGGCACTTTTCCTCGAAGTGGTGAAGACAAAGTAAAAGGAACAAGCTCGGGATGCGAAAACTTGGGATGAGACTAGCCCAAAAATTAGAAAATATTCTGCTCCAAGCAGGCTTCTGACAATGAAGGTACCAGTGTTTGGAAAACTCACGGAGTTCTTCTAGTAGGTCCTTCCACTCCGCGTCACTCAATTCGCAAGCCCTTCTCAGTGGGAAGATTTTGGCTGCAAAGAGGCCCTCACATTTGATGATGTTCCCAACACCCGGAAGCCGCGATTGGTCCATGATGAGATCAACGACCAACTCCTCAGACTCGCGAAAGAGTCGGACGGCCTCATTCATTGCAAAGCTTTCTGCATTGATGTCAAAGACGCGCCTGGCTTCCACGGAGCGAAGATACTCCGGCGAGGACAGGCCGAAGGAACTCCCCAGATCGGTCCAAAGAGAAAATCTCAAGCCCACATCAGGAAAAGCCAACGGATCAGAGACCGATCTCTCGACCGAGATCCATGTTTCGGTCTCCGAAGTCTCCTTTTCTTCTGTGAAGTCAAGTGTAACAGCCACATGGCTGTCTCGACAGTGTCCCCCTCCGCCTGCTTTGGGCCCCCATATCAAATTTTCACCGACTGCCGATGTTTGCTGCACCAAGTATCCTCCACCGTGGCCAAAATGAAGCCGAATGCTGCCCCCACGTCGTGTCTCATCCCACTTCAAGGCAAAAACCAAAAAGAGCTCTTTGCCGACTGCAAAGACCTCCAATATCTTGCAACCAACCAGGGAACGAAAGGCTACCCCTTGCTCCGCTGTCTCAACACGGATGACTGCTTTCAATCGGCGCCTCAAGAGGATCCTACGGGCATCAAACGCACAAAGGGTCAGGAGGACGCTCGCACGCTGCAAGCACCCTGACCTACGTGGAAAAGAGAAACTCGCCAAACCAAACCTTGCCAAACTCCAATAAACACTTCACCAACACAAGAAAGCCACACACCGTCCTCAGCAACTCTGCATGCCTATGGTACTTCGGACCCTCGACCATCTTACACCGGGCAAGCTTGCGACCATCTTCCGCACAAGGCGACCGGCCAAATGTTTAGGAAAGTCCAATTCATTGTCCCAAAAAAATGCATTTGATCTGGTTGAAAAATCAAAGTATCACAAAATGCCACCTACACTCCCTGGTGGCTTGTAAATAAAGTAACAATATCATCTGCAGCCCCCAATTGCAACTTACATGGCGCTGGAAATTTGGAGTCAAAACATTGCGCAAAGAAAACAAAGCCAAATCAAAGGCCCCGTGTTACTTCAACAATCACCGTATTATATAAGGTCTTTGTTGATTTAGTTCTGGACGTATCGAAAGGCTTGGTGGGATCCTGATGTCCTGATGCCCCCTACATGTGAGGAAAGGTTTGCCTCCCTCCAAGTCGAAGTGCGGCGAAGTTAAAGTGCAGCACTTCGAAGTTGTGCTTCAAAGCCACTGGCTCTGTGAACAAAGCCTCACCCATTACGCAAGAATATTTAAAGGTTGTTCTCATTTAATCGACAGGAGAACCAGGAAAAAGCGCACAAGGACAACATGTCCAATCCCTCATCCAAACAAAAGCATAGTGCCAACAAACTTGAAGGATACCAAGGACTAGACCATATTTCCGCAAACTGGTTGAAAACTATGATATAAATAATCAACTTCGCAAAGTTTGAGAGAACAAGCATTTGGCACTGAAGAGGAAGGTCCACTATTCAAATGGACTTGCAATCATTATTCACCCTCGTGTCTGCCAATCAAAGCTGAACTCCGAATTGTCTGATAGAAGCGCTTGCACTGTAGGTTGGATCAAACTCTGGTGATACACGATACAAACCTCTGACTTTGCAGCGCATCGGGTCAAGTTATGAGGTCTGCTTGAAGAGAAACCCTACGGGCTGAAAAGGAATATATTGACACCATGCCTAACTCCAAATGCAAATAATTGTATGCTCTATATATGCTCTATAGTCTTTTCTAATACCCAACAAAGCAAAGATCTTTCAGCAAAGCTCTACTCATCCACCATTATATAATAGACACAAAATCCAACCGCCAGCAGCTATAAGCAGCACCCACCACGCTGCCTGTGCTCGGGAAGCTCGTTCTCCGATCCAGACCTAAATTCGGGAAGCTTCAAACGGGTCAGCTTGCACAAGGCCAACTTTTCGAAGACCACCCGTCGCTGCCTTCGCAATGAATTGAAAGGGGGACACGCCGCTGAGTGTTTATCTGCATCGCTTTTCTGACAACG